TGTGCGTATCTCCTTAGTAAAAAAACATTCATTTAAAAAGAGCTTAAGAATTAAGATGTTGTTCTGGTGAATTTGTGAACCCATACATTGCTACTGCCTTTGGCAACTGTGTTAGATTAATTTATGACTGCAGGTGGAATGTTTTCAGACACAAATATGCACTGCTGTGATCACATGCTACCAGGGCTGAAGGAAATAATAATTTCACTTCATGCATTCAAATCATACTGTCTTGTAAAAATATGATATCTAAAATTTAACAAAAAAGAAACACTGGAAAGTTAGATACTCTGAAGTAGCAACATTGATTTTACAAAACACCTGAGCTGTGGTGATATTTCACCTCTTAGCATCCTATTCCTGGAGTGATGCTTGGGGAGACCAGAGCAAGGATACAGCAGAGCTGTTAAAGCTGCTGCTCAGGTTTCTTAGTTTCTCATTAGAAGATGAGCTATGCTTTCAAATATCTATGCCAAACCTGGTAGCAGCAGCCAAGTGTCACAATTCTCTAGCTGACTAAGAAAAAATGTCAGACACCTGATTCTCAAAGAAATGGAGCAATTTTATTGCTAAGGGGTGGATTTTATATGATGCCACTTAAGAATGCTATCATACTTACAGTATCAGTGACTGGTACCTGACATGCTGGTTTTCATTCCTGTGAATCCCTTTGGTTATAAAATAGGATTTTTCTGCTAACTAGAAAGTGCATCACAGAACTGTTCAAGGGCCTGCTCTCCTCGTGACCCCAAAGCATGCCAGTGGGAGGTATTCGGCACAGTGGGTGTTCTCATTACCACTTGACATTTTGCTGTTTGGTTTTCTTCCTGTTGCTATTTAATGATTTCAATTCTTTCTTTGCCAGTCCCAGAAGCCATTTAGCAAGCGATGTACTATTGGTGCTACTTAACAATGTTAACAGAGTCTCTAGGAAAGGAGTTTCATTTCCAAACAGTGTTTCATTTCCAAACAGCCTTACCCCTCACCATCTGCTCCTGTCCTGTCCCTCCCTGTCTGTTTCCCAGTTAACCCTTTTCCCTGGCCTCCTCATCCAGTGCTCTTGGGGAGGGTGGCAGCCTTGCCTGAACTATAAATACCCTCTTAGGCTAAACAGACTGCAGGTCACTGTAATGGCTGTGACATGGGTGAAGGTTTTGGATGATGTAAACTGGCATATTTGCTTTGCAGAGGCACAGGCAGAAAAATAGAGCAGTCACAGAGAGCATTGCAGGTTTCTGTCCTTAGTCTACTGTTAATCACAAGCACTTCACAACTCCCATTAGTGTCAGGTCTGGAGGTCTCAAATAAGTAAAATCTCCAATAAGACTGCAGAGGGAAGATACTGTATCTTATGGGAGAATGAAGACATCAAGACTGGGGATGAGATTCATTTCACTGAATTTAATCTACCAAAAAGACAGATTGCCATTGATACTAATTATCCCTCTCTCCCGTGGAGAGATGGCATATCTCCCAAGGATGATTTACATGACTCTAATCACTGAGCAACCCTGACTGTTAAGTGGCACCAAGAGGCCAGATTGAGACGGATGCTCAGCTTCAGATGAGCTCAGATAGACTCTGGACAAGTTCGTGGTAGCAAAATTCTTTGCAAGTTATTGAATCCGTAGCAATAGTGTCTGGCTTATGAACTTCCTAAGCTGAAAACAGTCAAAGGCTGTGAGTTATTAAGGGGTAGTATCAGACATGTTTCTCCTGTTGTGCAGTTACTCTCCTAAGCATCTATTTATGGCCACTGTTGGAGCTAACACCCCAGGGAGATGGACTTTCTCTCGGACACCATATGGCCATTCTTCATGTGAGGCTGCTGGAGCAGTGAGAAGGGGGAATGCACATTTAGCAAGAGATGATTTTTGCAAATGGGAAATTGGCAGGAAGGTTTATTTCCAGATCTGTGGTGAAGTGCTACTGACCTACAAACAAAAAAACTGGAAGTCAGTCTTACAGAAAGAGCCTGTGCCAGGTGCTGAATGTCAGTGCTTTGCACCAGGTCACCTTAAGCCTTTCAGAGATTCAGATGAGCTGTTTCACCATGTGCTCCCTTCAGATGGTGCAGACAGCTTGTTTGAGCCTTAGACAGTACAAGGAGATTCAGATTTGACATAATTTACAGCGTGCTGGGTAGCTGTGCTGCTACACGGATGCTCCCTGCCTTTGTGACAGCAGCAGGGGAACTAACAGGGTGGAAGCTTGTCATTTCAAATAACTCATTGAGAGCACAGAATGTGTGGCCCAAAACCCAGGTATCAATCAGATAGCACCAGAACAGTGCTTATGTCCTCCCACCGTACTGGGCACACACACATGTGCATATACCTCTATACTTGGGATTATTCAGGTGAAAGACTCTGCAGAACTGACTCTCCTAAATGCTGATAGCCTTAAAATTATTTGCTAAGGAGGCAAGCACCTCTGCTTGAGCATTTTGCTGCCAGTATGGTAAATGTATTCTTGTCACTTGGAGCAGAGATCTTTAATTGGAGTCTCTGTAGCTGTTTCATGGCATCATCACTGTATAAATATACTTCTGTTTGAAGTCAGAGCTGCCTTTTAAGGCAATCTTTACATAAAAAGAAATTTTGATAAAACTGAGAAATGCTTTCCTTATCAAATCCCAAGACATAAAAAAAGGCTGGTGGAATTGGATTCAAAAGATCAAGCTGGACTTTTGAAATGGAAGCTTTTGCTCTCTTTTAAACCACACTGTGTTGAAATTACCAGCAAAAATCTTTGATACAGGGAGAACGTAACAGACTTTGCTTTTGCAATTTCCTGCTTGGTTTCTTGTAAGCTGCTTTTGTCTAATCATATCTGATATCAAAGATAATTTCATTTAATGTGGATTAGGTAGCATGACATATCCACTGTGGTCTTTCATCATTCTCTGTTTAATTTTGAATGTGACATGATATTTTCTAGTACAGATGAAATTTGTTCAGCAGTCAGCTTTGAAAAGGAGCCTGTCTTTTATGTCTCTCTAAAATGTTACGCATGGCAAGCAAAAAAAATTACTTCATTCTCAGACTTCTCAAAGTCTTTGGTGTTACCTATAGATTATAGCCAGTGTAGAGAGGAGAGCTGGTTTATCCTCACATGCTGTCCATTTCAGCACCTCCATGGCACAGCTGCACACAGCCAGAATGGGTGTAGTTTGGTTCCAAAGGGAGAGGTTACTGAGAGAATCAAAATGTGATGCAGGAGATGAAGGACAGGGTGCTAAAAGAGATTATTTTTCAGCCCAGTGAGTATTTGACAGGGCAGTTTAGGGCTTCTGTGGTATGCCTGAATGAAGGCAAGGCTTGTTCCTGTGTTATTCACAGGCTGTGGTGACTTCAGCAGTAGAGCTGAAGTTATAGAAGAGAGCCCTGTTGAGAAAGGTGAAAAATAATACCAAAAACCCAAAGGCATTTACTAATAGGGTATAAAACAGGAGATTGTGTCTAAATGTTGGAGGATGGCAGCATCAGTGTAGAAACCACTGTGAGGGAGGAAAGGTTGGCTGCTGTTGCAGTGAGGGTGTTTCTTAAGGATAAAATTCACAGAATTTTTCAGCTTTCACTGAAGCCCTGGACTCCTACCAGATCCGAAAGGGGAATGTAGGTGGGATGCACTGATGTCTAGGTTTGCTCTCATTGCTTAAGATCAAACCAATCATCGATGGAATTTTGGCAGAGAAATTTAGACATATGACTCTGGGGTTTTTTACCCCATAAATCTGTGGGTTTGGTCTACCTATGTACTAGAGTCCCCACAGAGTTTGGTTAGAGAGTACTGCAGAGACTTGGGCTTTACTATACCCCCACTGCTCATGGTTTTTTACAGGAGATTCAGAAACGTGTGTCCTGAGCATTTATAGATGTGTGAAAGAGATGTTCTGCAGCTTTTTCTGAAACATTGTCCCATACTTACATGAAACTAGGAGCCTGCACTGAGTGAGTCAGGGGAGACTGTTACAGCTCTGCATTCTGAAGCATACACAGGACAAGGATGGAATCAAAAAGCTTTTGTGTGAACCTTTTTGAGTTGTAAATGGTCTTTGTACTGCAGTAGGTATCATTCTCTTGTCTGAATGAGAATCCATTCATTTGCAGAAGGATATTTTATACCACTATATAGAGGTCAAATAGTTCTCAAACCCTGAAGAATAGCTTTTGTGATCTAGAGTGAAGTTGAGAAGACAATTGTAACATGTAAAAGGACATAGTTAAACAGTTTCTTCTTCCTTTGTCTTCTGCATAGTGTATCGAGTAACTGTTATCTTACCCAGAACATTTTCTGGTGCTGCTGGGAAATCCACTAAGAGCACCAAAGAAACTTTTGTCCTTCCCAGTAGGAGAAGTCTGGTGTGGGAAGCTTTTAGAAATCTGCCATCTACTGCATTGTGATGGAGCCTTACAAAATCCATTTTGAAGTTTTCCCTTGCATTGATTTATAAATCTTGGCTTGTTGCACTGATGTGTTTTGCAAGTGAAGTTAGTGCACAGATACACTCCATCTCTTTTACAGTAAGAACTTTTTACATGATCTCTACATAAACCAAGAGTTTTTTTCTGAGTGATACATAAGAGAACAAATTCTCTGCATCAGATCCTCGCTGTGCTTGTGCAATGTCTTGCAGTGACACCATACCTTTGCTGGTAGTCACAAAACAATCCTGTTCCTATCAGCTCAAATTCTGGTATGTGAGTGCTTTGTGTATACAGGTATCTCTGCTAAATGCATATGATTACTTAGGCTGACTTGAAGCCTGCATGCTAGCTCTTCTGTATATTGCACGTATTATATGCAGGTTTTCTTCAGTAATATTGATTCCAAGAGAAATGGGAGAAATATTATAGTCTGTGCTATAATAGCACCATGTACATGAAATCTCAGTAATTTTGCAAGGTAGCTAATAGTTATTCTTTAATAATGACTTACAGACAATGCAAAAGCAGATACTAGCTTTCAGTCTGATTCTGCCATGTTTTTCTTCACAGCTTCCTGTTATGGGAGGAGCCTTTATGGACTCACCCAACGAGGACTTTAGTACGGAGTACTCCCTGTTTAACTCATCAGCCAACGTCCATGCAGCTTCTTCCATGCAGAATCCACCAGAAGAGACATCCCGTTCTTCAAATGATGCCATATTGTTATGGATTGCAATAATAGCAACAATTGGAAATATTGTGGTTGTGGGAGTGGTGTATGCCTTCACCTTCTAGGATGACTGTCACTACAAACACTGGGAGAAAGGAAATCTTCAACAGTATTTGTCATGTGTATGTATGTATGTATGTGTGTATATATACATGTATATCTATATAAATACACATAACTAGAGACTTTGTTGATTAAGTGCTGCCACAGTCATGGAAATGAAATGCAAGTTAATCATCTTAAGTCTTGATGGCAGAAAGTTTGGATGCAAATTGCGTGGAGGTGAGAGCTTTATTTGAGAACTGAGCCAATACCAGTTTTGTATAGAAATGTAATAAAAGAGAGATCAACTTGGTAGTAAATACAGAGAGATATTTATACAGAAAGTGCTTATTTTTCACTGTAGATTTTTCTAGCAGCTCTTCTGCAGTTTGTCAGCTTTTTATTTATTTTTTTTTTGGTGCATTTTTTACTGTGGTATAACATTATATAGAATTGTTCCAGGTCATGTTTTCTAGACATCTTAATTTCCTTGGTGGACCAAGTGGTTGGCATTGGCTCGGTTCTGATGAAGTCCAAGTTCATCGTGTGTGGGTCTTCAGCATGGCTGTAGACTCCTGGGCTGTATTCAAAATCATCAGTCTCACAGCCATGACAGGCAGATGCAGGCTGTCTATTACTTGCCTTCCAGTTTCAGCAACTGGACCTGGTAATCAATAAATTTATGCTGAGCCTGCCTACTGCTCAGGAGGAGGCACAGCTATTGCTGCTCTGCAGACCCTCTGAATTTCAGAGGAGAAAATGATAAACAGAGTAGCAGCACAAGTTCCCATTTCTGTCTAGAGGTACTGGATTGCAGTGGTTTATATATGCATTCCTTCCAGGAAACAAAATCCTAATACCACACTTCTCATCTCATCAGACTGCAATCCAGATTTCTTACAAGGTACTGGATTGCAGTGTTTATATATGCATTCCTTCCAGGAAACAAAATCCTAATACCACACTTCTCATCTCATTGATCCAGATTTCTTACGGCAACTGTGTGCTTTCATAAGGTTATTAATGTACTGAATGATGGAAAAATTGTATAGCCTAAGTAATAGTGAATATGTCTATGAGAAAGATTAATTTGAAATAAAGGTTGGTCACTTCTGTGCTTATGCAGGGGTGAATTCAAGAGTCAGGTATGTCCTGGGGTAGAAACAACACAAGAAAAGTAATAAGTGTCAGATGTGCAAGTGCTTGTATCTCAGTATTAATATATCTCTGGGTTCTAGTGAAGGTCTTGGAAGAGATTTTTTTTTATAGCTGGCTTTAGGAAATTACTCTGATTATCCTTCGGATTTGTTCCACTGCAAGGCAACATTTTTACTGCATTTTTTCCACAGGCAGTGCATTTTCAGGAGCTGTATCTTTTCAAGACAAGCTGTAGCCTTCCTTGCTTGAGAGATTGTAAAATCTTGAGAGAAGAAAAAAGAAATCACTGCTGTTGGAAATCTTCTTTCACTCCCATAAAAATTAAGCAACAGTACATAAAATGTATGCACTTTGAGAGGAGCAGACAAATTCTTCTTCTATGTCTGCATGTACTGTCTAGGTTTTCTGTCTCATATAGCTAACACCCAATTCCAGAAAGCCTTGTCTGCAGGAACAGAGACTATTTTTGACACTTGCCTGCTACTGAGCTTGAGGCTGGGCTATGAGCTGCTGAATGTATAGAGAGGTTTGGATTTTCCACTTTTCTCTTTAAACGCATTTTCCTGCAGGGCTGGTGGACAGTTACTTGAATCAAAGCAGCATGCCCCAAATCAGTATTTATAACCACTCAGCAGTCACTGTGTATATTTTTTCCCTCTCTGTGAACTGTCCTTTAAAGCTAGGAAAGATGCAAACAGAGCTAGCAGTGGGGAGAAAATAAATTAGGTTATTTTGAGGCTGAGAAAAACAATTATGAGCTTCTGTGTATGTTGTTATTTCCCTATTTGGAGGCAGGATTTTGTGAAGATGGTTGAGGACAGACAGGACCTATACTGGGAAAAAGTTTGAGAAATCCAGTTCTGGAAGATCAGAGGGAAAGAAAACAAATACTGTCCAATAAAATAACTGTAGTCTTAAGGATGGTAGAAAAATGATGATTTGCATTTCCTAAAATAGCTATTAATTCCTTCATAGCCACAGGACAACAAAAAAGCAGAGGAGCTGCATAAATTATCTACCTTGTTTGTTTTTGCATCCCTCCTTATTCTTGCTGAGCAGAAAGGAAGCTGTTGGAAAGCTGCAGAGAAATTTCCAATGAAGAATTGAGCAGGACAAGGTCTGGTGTGTAAACATGTAGGATCTGTGAAAATGTTGCTTAATGTAATGTACTGTCCCCAACCATTTTCTGATATTCTGTTGCCTTTGTAATTGTATCAGTTACTCATGGACTTGTCTCCATTGTTCCTGCAGGCTGTCTAGTTAGGTCAGATCCTGCAAGCATTTTGGCATAAAGAGCAAAACATTTCCACCATGACTAAAACCAGTTTGACACGATGGTACTTGCCCAGTGGGATTATTCTGCTGCCTAATGAATTTGCCAGTGGAGTGCTTTGCTTAAATTTCTTAGAATATTAATCTTAGTGCAATTAGCAATGTTTGCATCTCTCTCCCAGAGCACTGGACTAAACTCTTCAACCATGAAGAAAAGCATTAGAGTGGGAACAGCAAAAAGACCCACTATTCTTCTAGTGAAACCAAGTGACACTTTTGTGTTGCTTTTCCCAAAGAAAATGCCCTACTTTCATGTGAAACTGATAGTAATAGCAGGAGTGTTGGAAAACAATGAGTTCCGCCTCCTGCATCCGGATCATCATCATACATATTTTCATTGTTAGAGGCTGTGTTGTCAAGAAGGGCCAGACAAAACTTTAATTTAAGTAATTGGCTTGACAGGGTGACATGGCAAGCTGGGTGTAAACAGCAAGTGCAGGCATTTCCTGCCTCATAGTTAACTGCGCAATAACTGTACAGCTTCTCTGTTGGGAGAAAAAGTTAGTTCTAGGATGCAGGTACAAGGATACTGCACGTGAGTGTCAGTCTGGAATATTGTCAGGTGTATTAAAGATCCCTAAATTGCAGTGGCCAGAGCTGGTTCAAGCTCTGCTCTACTTAGATAGTGACAATATGCACACTTTATTTCTGGATGTTGTGTTCTGGCTTCATCCACTACAACCTCTTCTCTCTTCTGGGAGGTTGGTGAAGGTTTAAATTAAACCATTGAGAAAGGGGACTAATTCGTCATTAAGTTCAGAGAAGGTGCAGAGGGGAATGGAGCAGTGGCTGAGTGGGGGATGTTTCACAGGTATGGTCCTGTGAAATATGTTGCCTCTTGAACTCTCAGCACAGCTTGACTTGGAGCACTCTTAGTTTCTCTGTTCCTTGGAGCCAGGCAGCTGGATAATTGATGTCACTCACTGAGGAGTGATGAGAAAGCCAAGCCCAAACACATTCCCCAGAGCTGTTTTCTGAAGCCTTTCTTTAAAGAACATGGTTCTGTTTTTTGCTGAGCACTTTGTGTATGAGCCTGAGAAAAGGATTTCACTTGATCAGTGCTTCAATTAAAAATGTCTAGCACAGATAGCAGTTAGAAAATCCTGACTGCAGTTCATTCTGTGAGAGATGAAGCAAACCACTTTCTATATGCTCTACCTATAGAGGTGTTTTAACTTCAGCTCTGTTGTGCAACCTCATCATACAAACACATGAAACAACTTTGCCCTGCAAAGTTACCAATGACCCAAGAGAGACAAACTAGGGTGCCCTAATAATTCCCTTTTACCCATGGCCTCGAGGGATCTATGGCAACATACCAAATCATCAAACTCCCTATAAAGAATTTTTTTTATCAAAGCAGCCAGCTGCTCGACACAGCAGCTGTGCAGGCACCACAGCAAGAGACTAAAGGCTGAACAATTATTCAGGTGGGTACAATGGCACATTAGAAAGGAAAACTGAGTGGGCAAACCCACTAGAGCTATTCCTGTCATATTTTATCTGCAAGTAGGAGTCTGTATTTGCCCACAGCATGAACAACCTGTCTTTCTGTGTCAACACACTTGCAAAACTGAAAACCCGATTTTGAAATGGATGCAACAATAGTAGCAGGGAGACTCATCTGCTAAATAATGTATTTAGCCTTTTCAGTGGGCAGATGAGGTCATAGATATCTCAGAAGTAATGAAATCCCTGCTCCAAAACCCTCACTTGCAATAGGACTTGAGGGCAGTCAGCATCCCACCCAGCTGCTGAGCAGACTGTAATAATCAGCCCCAAATCAAGAGTGAACAGAAGCATCCAGCTATTATTGTCTTGCCATGTACACCTATTTGAACATTAAAAGAAAATACACCTTTGTGTCTGGGACCAAATGAAAACAGGAGCCTCTAGTCTATGGGTTGTTATGTATTTTGTCTATTATTAAAAGCTTTCATTTTGCTATACTCAAGCAATTCCAGTTGTTAATATCCTTTTCACATTTCTCTGCAGGCTGCTGAGAGTTATTAATTTCGTGTAGCACTGTCCATTTATCCAAGGTAATTTGACTGAGTTTCCTGTGGCTAATCACAGAGTAGAATCTGGAAATTTGCTCTTTCTACGGGTGATTTCCATTTGAGGTAAATGGACTAAAGATCAGAATCCCAGATCAAAATACATCTGTGCCTTTGGAACATTTGGAGCTCTGGAGAATTGGATTTCATGAGATTAATGTGCAGGAAGGAAGGGACAGTGAGGTCCCTGGTGATAATGTCAGCCATGAGGGTTCTGAGGCAGAGCTGAGTGGTTTATTAACTGCTGCTGTGTCCTCTGAGCCCTGCTGGCTCCCTGGACACACAGCCAGGGCTGAGTGGAAGCTAAACCACCAGGTACAGCACATCCCTCCTCCCCTCACAGCCTGCTAATCCTCAGGGAAACAAGCACATTGGTTCTATTCACAGAAGAGCCAGAGATCAATATTCTGTTAGCTGTGTTGTTCCTGGTACATTGTCAGTCACCATAAGGCCAAGATAGGGGTGGTTTAACATGCATTTAGCCCTTTACCCCTTGTCTGAGAATGTCCTAAAGCAGTGAAGGCATCCTGAGCCTTAGTCTCGTACTGCCCTTAACTCACACTAACTTTTTGTGTTTCCTCATACAAGCCATCTTTGCCTTTACCTCATCTTCTCAGCCCAAAACAGGGAAAATGAAGTCACCACTATGCTCTTCTCTGGACATGTAGGGAACTCCTAAATGCTGTGGACCAGCCATATCCCATTTTAGTTTGTGGTTCTTCAGGCACAAAGTGTACAATTACCTACATAAGCAGTTCCAGGTAAATACTTGCCTTTGCAGAACAAAAATGCATGACAATTTTAGCTCGTTCTGGCCTGTCCTAGAACATTTACACTGAAACAACATGGCCAGAGCTACTTTTGCTGTTTTGGAAATTACACCAACACAACCATGAAGTGGAAAAGAAAACCTTGATAAGACAAACATGTCACAATCATCTCAAGCACATGTCTCTGAAGGCAGATTTTCCTGAGTGACGTAGGCAGACTTGAGCTATTGGTAGCAAGGCAAGTGCCGTTTAGTGTGACACAAATAGTCTCCCCCTCTTTGGCAATTCTTGGGAGCATTGTGCCACCCATTCTGTCTTTCCCAGGCTACTATTTTCAGTTGTAGAAAATACTCTAAAACATTCCTGTGTTGGTAGAATACCTATAGGATTTACCTCCCAAAGCTCTGCTTCATCTTCTTGCAAAAGCAAAAACAGCCCTATTTTCTTAAGCATGGAACATTAATGAGTCAATGCATCTGTACAGTAGCATTGTCTCATTTTAATCCTCATTTTTTTGCCAGTAAGTCTCAAAGGAGATCTTACTATTATCCAGACTTTAAAGATGCTGAGAAAAGAAAC